TCGGCGATTCTGTCTTTAATCAAGGGGATGTGAGGTGGTGCTGGCTGGGGGCGGTGTCGGGGTTTGAAGAGGTGGGAGAGGGAGAGGACGGGAAGGGGGAGAGTAGGAAGGAGGAAGGAAGAGGGGGGAGAGAACATGTCTTTGGTTCCCTCAGAAAACTTGCACCCATCACCAGCAAAGCCCAGCGAGCTGGCCTACGGGCAGATTCCGCCTGCTGGGGGCCTGGGGCTGCAGGTAGAGCCGCTCAGCTTGGCAAGAAGAAGCCTAGATCCATTGAAGCCCAGGCCCTGTGTTTCAATCTAGTCACACAGTTTGCAGGTCCAGTCCCTGCTACCCATGTAGACCACCGGCCATGCCAAATTGTGAAGACTGGTGGAGAGTGCATTTGCAGAGGGCAGGGGCTGCGGCCTCATCTCTCCAATCCCAAGGCCCTGCACACAGAGTGCGGCAGAGTTAGAGGAGGGTGCCGTCCCGATGCTCCCCCACCCCCAGGGTCTGCTTGCAAACAGCAGACGGTGCCGACTTCTCCCCAAGGGACTAGATTGGCATTTTCATCCTTTCTGTGCAGCCTTAAAGTCTGTGACAAACACCAACCTCCCCTCCGTACCGCTCCTAAGCTACCCTTTCTGAGCGTCTGCTTGCTGAAAAAAAATGTCCAGTCTCCTGAATTTATAAATGCTTTATTAAGACTAGAGCAAACCAACAGAAAGCTCCCTGGCTTGTAGCCCCCCCCCCCTCTCCGAAGTGCCCCTGCAGGGGGCTCCAGAAGAGAGCCTATGTCAGAAGGACCCTGCCTGCCCCGCTTTGAGATCTCTCTAGCTGGCTGCGGTGGAGGCCCGGGTTGCAGCTGTTGGAGAAAGAGCTGGAAGGGGCTGAGGCCAGACTGTGTAAGCACAGTGCTTTTCTATTTACTAAAACCCCTGAGATCTCTTTGGGGACAGGTGTGGCATCCCAGTTCATAGACAAGGAAACAGGGCTCAGAGAGGGAAGTGACTGGCCCAGGGCCCTCGGCAGGCAGGCCTGAGATGGAGATGGGATTAGAGAGCAGGTGCCCATCAGCCAAGGGAGTGCCCTTTCAGTTAAAGCCTGTGACATTTGGACACTGATTCCCTGGGGTGAGAATGCCTTTTCCTGGCCTCTCTCCCTGTCCAAAACTGGGGAGGGCTGTGTGTGGGAAGGGACCTGGAGGGGGAGGGGAGGAGTCTGGGGGTCCCCTTTGTACTTCATGCAATACACAACCTCTCCACATGACTTTGGCAGGAGTCTGGGGAGCCCTCACCCCAGGGCCGCCCAGCCCCAAGATCCTCCGCCCCTCCTTGGCTTCTGGCTGAGAACCCAGCCCTTCCCAGTCTGCCTGTCCACATGGGATAATTTTGGAGGCTGAGGTCAGGGACCTGGGAGGAAGGGAAGAGAGGAAGGTGAGTTGGGGAGACCTTGGCGATTGCCTTGGAATGGGCAGTGGGGTCTCCAAGTTTGGGCCTGTCAGCCACCCTTGTTCTAGCCCAGGGGCCTTGGGCAAGAGAACTTCCACCACTGGACTCCACTTCTTGACTTGAGAAAAGAGCCCATGGAAGAGGGTGGGGTCACAGAAATGCAGGGGCACGCGGTGGGCATGTAGTAGGTACCCCAACTGCTCCCTCTAGCCTACCCCCAAAGCCACTACCAACAGCCCCAACACATCTGGGTCTTCTGCAGAAAACATCAGGGAAGGGACACCTTCCACAAGGGGGTGAGGATTTTCCTCTAGCTTGGAGCCAGCCCAGAGCAGCTCCAGGGACCCCACCCAGCCATGTACCCATTCCAGGCTGCCTTCCCAGAGCACCGACTTAGAGCCCATGTGCCTGGGGGCTCCACTGGCCCACCTTCCCACACCTATCCCTAAGAGGGCAAGTGTGTCCTCAATTTTGCCAGGGCCCTGTAAGATGGCCTAAAAAGCACCCACTCCCTAAGTTCAAAGTGGCAAAGATTGCCCCACTCCCCTGCACTGTGGGGAAATGGAGACCATGAACTGGGTGGGCACCCACTAGCTGCACCGGGGGTCTATATGCAAATTAAGCATACAAAAATAACCCATCCAAAGATCCTGACCTCTTGGGACCCTTCCCCAGGAGGTTAAACACTTTTAACCCCTTCCATCCATCTCCCTCCCTATGTTCCTGAGCTTCCCTGATGCAGACAGGGCCGGATGGTGGGGGAAAGGCTGCTGAGCAGAATAGAGGGCTCTAAACTGAGGCTGGTGGCTGGTGGGGAGGGGGGAGGCCTGAAGAGCCCCTCCTCTCCCCAGGAGCTCTGCAGAGACAGAGGGTCTCGGCAAGGTCAGCATCCCCCACCTCCATGCGGGGGACCTCTGGCTGAAGGATTCCCAGTGGGTCTAAAATAACTGCAGAGTGGCTGGTGTGCAAACGTCTGTGTGTGCGTGAGCGTAATTGTGAGGTTGCCCACATGTGTCCCTGTGGACAAAGACAGATGCGATTGCTTGTGTGTGTGTGCACTGGGGGAAGTTGTGTGTTGGGTGACTGCATATGTGTGTTTTTGTAAGCAAGGGACCAAGAGCCTGTGATTGTGAGTTTTGGGAACTGGGGATGCGTGCTTCTGAATGTCAGGTGTGTGGCTGTTGTGTGCGTGAGCGCCCGTGTGTTTATGCTCCAGCATGACTAAGGCCCTCACTGTGATGTGGATGCGTGTGCGTGGATGTGTCGGCTGGTTTGTAAAGTGTATGGCGTGCTGAGGTGAGCATGCGGCTTTATGTGGAGGGGCCCAGGATTTCGTAGCCCTGTGTAGGCTCCCTCTCGGGGTCTATGACTAGGCATGTGCAGCTCCGACTGTTTCTAGAACAGTGTGTCTGTGTTGCAGTGTGTTTGGGTTGTAGTGTGCGTTTGGGGTGCAGTGTGTGTGTGTTGCTATAAGTGTGTATGCATTTTCCTGCCTCATCATGGCGAGGGATACTGGGGACATGAGGCTTTTGATAAGTGTTTTTCTGGGAGCGTGTGTGATTATGTGCATATTCCACGTCGTGACAGTGTACCTTTGTGTTCTTCTGGGTCTATGACCCATGGCGTATGTGCTCGGGACCTTGGCACGAAGCGTTTCGGTGTTTCTGTGTTTCGAGCGTGTCCTTGTGTTTTCCCGGGGTCTGAGGCCCAGCCCAGGTTCGGTTCATGCTACTTGTCCGAAGAGGGCCGTGCGTGCGCGCCCGGGTGCTGTCCTGTGCCGGCAACATGTGCTAAGCGTGCGCACGGTACCTGCGCCCGTCTAGCCACGAGTGCACCCGTGTAGGCGAGCGGGCTTCCGGGACGTTGCGGTGGTGGGGGGCGGGGGTCACCGGGAC